TATATATATATATATATATATATATATATATCTTAGATTTAGTGAATTTGGTTATAATATCATTATCAAAGCCTCTTTCCAACTAATTGGTATATTTTTTTATAATATTTAGATGAGAATTTTCAAGAAATAAAAAAGAATTTTGCAATTTTAAACACTTAAATCGTGTAAAAAGTGGACAATTTCTTAGGAGATATTTTTCAGGGTCACATAGAGTGGGAAAGAATATGCTTTTATTTTATTTTTTACTTCTTTGTTAGGTTTGGTCACTCAGTCATCAAGGTTACATCCCCAAATATTATCTTAGGCAGGGTTTTGACCGTGGGAGTAAATGTATAGTATGCTCCTAGACAAGGTTTTACTTTGAACCATGTACATGTGCATCATTATTGACTTTTGCATTTCTCTCATATGTCAAGCACAAACCACAAATTTACCAAGAAAAGATGGTCATTTGTATTCCCCCAACATTAAAAATGGGCCTTCACAATTAATTATCAGTAATTAATTCATGTTATCCTTTGTTTTGCTGCAAAACAGGTATCCAAAGAGGAGTTCATCGAGCTCGCTCGAAAATCCGGCAAGTTCGACGAAGCAAGCCTCGAGTTCCAGAGCAAAATACTGAAATTTTCTGGCCTCGGTGATGAGACATATGTCCCTAAAGCTATCGGTTGCCCTGAAAACACTGCCACCATGAAAGAGGGCCGGGCCGAGGCCTCTACTGTGATGTTTGGTGTGCTCGATGAGCTCTTCCAGTCATGTCGGGTCCGCCCTAAGGACGTCGGGATCCTTGTAGTGAATTGCAGTCTCTTCAATCCAACCCCCTCTCTCTCAGCTATGATAGTGAACCATTATAAAATGAGAGGAAACATACTTAGCTTCAATTTAGGAGGAATGGGGTGTAGTGCTGGGATAGCAGCTTTGGATCTGGCTCAGGACATGTTGCAAGCTAACCCTAACAATTTGGCTGTTGTGGTGAGCACTGAGATTGTTTCCTATAGTTGGTATTCCGGAAACAAGCGCTCGATGCTCCTTCCCAATTGCTTCTTCCGTATGGGGTGTGCAGGGATGTTGCTGTCAAACAGGCGGCGCGATAGCAGGCGCTCCAAGTACAGGCTCGAGCACATCGTGCGAACACACAAGGGTGCCGATGACCGCAGCTTTAGGTATGTGTTGTGGTTGCCTCTATGTGTTTGTGTACTCAATGAGTTATTGAGTGTGTCTGTGTGTGTGACACAGTTTCTCTGCTCATGTGGCACTGTATTGTAGGTGTGTAATGCAAGAAGAGGACGACCAAAGGCTTAAGGGCCTCTCCGTTAGCAAAGACCTCGTGGAGGTGGGTGGCCATGCCCTAAAGGCCAACATCACAACCCTAGGGCCACTAGTGTTGCCCTTCTCTGAGCAACTCCTCTTCTTTGCCTCTCTAGTATGGAGCTACCTCACCAACAAGGGCAAGGGCAAGGCCACCAAGCCCTACATCCCAGACTACAAGCTTGCATTCGAGCACTTTTGCATGCAAGCCTCGAGCAAGGCCATTCTCGATGAGCTCCAACGTAACCTCGAGCTTAGTGACAGAAACATGGAGGCTTCGAGGATGACTTTGCACCGATTCGGGAACACTTCAAGCAGTAGTATCTGGTATGAGCTTGCATATTTGGAGGCCAAGGGGAGGGTCAAGAGGGGGGATCGGGTTTGGCAACTCGCTTTTGGGTCGGGTTTCAAATGCAACAGCGCTGTGTGGCATGCGCTACGTGGGGCGAGACCCGCTCCACATAGCCCATGGCTCGACTGCATCGACCGATATCCGGTTCAGCTCTAGGAGTGTCTGTGATGGCTCATGCTTGAGTTTTAGGAGAAGAATATGCCCCCTCTTATGGAAAATTGATGGGGAAATTGTCTGAACTATTGCTACTGCTTGACTATGATAGTCAACTATAAAAACTATGCCCTTGAATTCTTTCAACTTTTCATAATATTTGTGTTTACGCAATAGATGAATGTTGGCGTCATAAAAAAACATGTAAACTTGTTATTGTTGCTCCTTGTGTTTATGATTTGATAGAAATGTCCCTCTTTTTTAACCTACTATCCTTCTTGTGTCATGGTTAGTGAAAATGTATATCTCCTTTTATTTTATTTTATTTTTTTTTGTTACAATTCAACTTTATTATATGAATATTGGGTCGTTTCGATACTAGGGCACACAAAATCATGTTTCGTATACCTAGGGTATGTTGGTATTTTTGGTTTGAAAAATATTTGTGTTTTTCAAAAACAACAAAATGATTTTGGAGGTTTTTCTTAAGCGGATTTTGTAGAGAGAAAGTTGTGGGTTTGAGTCCCATATTGAAGAGCAGGGAGTTAATTGATTTGTATTTAAAAGTACGTATTTTTATGCATTATATTTTTAGTACAAATGAGAGAATGATAATGCATATGCAGAGCATTTGCACGTATGAGGGCTAAAGGCTTGATATGTTTTTGTAAGCCCAACCTATGTAGGACAACTAACGATCATCTAACCATTGATGAAATGGAGGCAAAAGAGGTTGTAATAGCCACCAAATCAACGATCATCTAGTCGTCGATGAAATGGAGGTTGTACTCCCATTAAGGGATGGAAGTTACCTATGTGTATGTAACTTGTAACTGTTAGTGGTATATATAACCACCACTACAGTAAATGTGCATGTGCAATCTCCTTGCGGTTCTATATTAAGGGATATTTTTGCCGTACAAGATAAAGTTTCCCAGCCACTTGCATCTATCTCAAAACACCATTTTCTAAATTTCCAGAGAGCAAAACTAGTGGGATAACCTCTTTCTACTTGATTTTGACTCTTTCTCTAAACTATCAAGACTTGGGTGTCTAGTGTTTGAGTTCCAAACTCAGGTGCATAGAGCTTAAGAATATCAAATAGAGCTTTATGTTTTCCTGTATTTTGAAGACGAATTACCCCTCTTTTGCACATCAAATTTAGTATTGAATGGGAGAAAATATCGTATTGAGATCACGCTTCTGCTTGCTCGAAAATATGAAGAGTTTGAATTTTTAATTTTTCAACATCGTATAATCTTCTGCCCCCATTTCACCTACCAATTTTCCAACAGGGAATTGCACATAAAAATATATTTTGCAAATTTTTTGGAACCAATAATCATGTTTTGTGTAATAAAATTATATTTTGCAAATTTTTTGGAACCAATAATCATGTTTTGTGTAAGCAAAAAAGAGGGCAACACTTAGCTACACAATGTCAAAAATAAAATAAAAGCTGGCTTCTCCAAAACTCACCTTTGTGTAAGTAACACGAGAGAACCGCATCTCTTGAGGTGGGGAAGTACTTCCGTGGGTTAATTTTCACGCACTAGAGCCATGCACTATATCAAATACAAACAAAACATACAAATGAATTAAAAAGAAAACTATTTCAAATTTTAAGTTTTAGAGAGAAAGTATTTTAGAAATTTAAAGATAGAAACTATATTAAATTTTAGAGAGAAAATCTAGTTAAAGTTTTATAGAAAGAAACTATCTCAACTTTTAAGTTTGGAGAGAGAGAGAAAGAAAGTATCTTAATATCTTAGAGAGAGAAACTACCTAAAAATTTAATTTAGAAACTATCTCAAAATTTTTAGAGAGCGAAATTATCAAAAAATTTAAGTTTAGATAGAAAATATCTTAAATTTTAGAGAGAAAAACTATATTGAATTTTAGATAGAGAAACTATATGAAATTTTTAGAGAGACTATCTCAAATTTTAAGTTTTAGAGAGAAAGTATCTTCAAATTTTAGAGATATAAACTCTCACAAAAATTTTTGAGAGAAAAACTATCACAAATTTTAAGTTTTAGAGAGAGAAAGCATCTTTAAATTTTATAGAGAGAAACTATATCAAAATTTAAAGAGTGAAATTGCCTCAAACTTTGTAGAGATAAATTATCTCAAATTTTAAGTTTCAGAGAGAGTTCTAAGCTATCTAAAATTTTAAGTTTCAGAGAGAGTTCTAAGCTATCTAACATTTTAAGTTTTAGAGATGAAAAGTATCTTAAAACTTTAGAGAGAGAGAGACACTATTTGAATTTTTTAGAGAGAGAAACTATCTCAAAAATTTTACAGTGAAAAATTATATCAATTTTTAAGTTTCAGAAAGAGAAAATATCTTAAAATTTTAGATAGAGAAGTTATATCAAATTTTAGAAAGTTAAACTACTGAAATTTTTTAGAGAGTCATCTGTCTCAAAAACTATGTTGTTGTTGTTGTTGTTGTTGTTATTATTAAAACAATATATGCTACTATATTCAATAATAGCAAACACAGGTTATACCAAAAGATTATCCAAACATGAGATTTGCATAACCTGGTTACCATTCAAAGCCATCAAGATAGTCATATTTTTGCAAAGCTATCCAAGTAGCCATATTTCAATAACCAGGTTTTAACATAACCAAAGTTATGTTTCAATAAGCAGGTTTTAATATAACTAATGTTTAAAAAAATAGATCGGTGACTCAATTCGTCCTTACCCATACCTGTGTCGGATCGGTTCGAAAAATCGGCCGAATCGATAAATTTTGTCCCAAATTTTTATCAATATAAATATCTAAAAATAATGTATTTTTAGTTTCTAAAAGAAATTAATAGTGGTGCATTATGTACTTTCATTGCTTTGAAAAATCGGTGAATATTGAGACACTGTTTTCCAGTTTGGATGTATGTACAATTGTTAGTTATAATATAACATGATAATATTGCATCAAAATAATTTAAAACTATTAGAAAACACTCCCATATTATAAGATTAAATAAAATAGTTACCCATATAAAGCGAAGTAGTACCACATCAAACATTTATAATTTTCGTTACTTGGCTAAAATTATCACAACCTAACTAACTATAATATTATATATTGAATATAAATAAATTAATAAATATAAAGACAGTTTTCTTATGGCTCAAAATATGAATTTATAATCATGTTTTAATGAAAATAAAGAGTACATAAACAAATTTGTGCTTGTATGAGTTACTGTTAGTTACCTCAAAAAAATTTATTTTGACAAACTTACTATGTTTCAATTTCTACCTCAAAATGCATTCATCTAGCCATGTTATTTAATCACCCTTATATTTACTTCAAAATTTAATTACCTACATTTAATCACGCTTAGACCCCCCATTTAATCACCCTTAGACCCCCCCATTTCTAAATGAAATTAGGAGTGCTGCATTATGCAGTTTCATTATTTACAAAAATATGTGAATATTGAGACGTTATTTTCATGTTTGGATGTATGCATAATTATTAATTATAATATAGAATTAAAAATAATTTACTATACAAATAACAATAAATTTATAATTTGTCTTATAATTTCATCTAATTTTTAAAAAATTATTTACAGCTATAAAAAAATTAATACATTATATAACTTATAATGTAAATATATTAACAAATGAAATACAAGATTTGATTTTCAATGTATAATTATTAATTATAATATTGTAATAAGCATGATTCAAAAAAAAAAAGTGTGACCCTCACAAATAAATAAATCTACAAAAGCATAGAATTTTAAAATATAAATTTACAATTACATTTTAGTAAAATTAAGAAAACAAATAAATAAATTCATACTTGAAATGTCGGACAATTGATAAAGTACCTTTAAAATAGATTTTTAAGTGGTTTGAGCTAGTGTTATTTTTTTCTCTTAAAATATCTCATAAACTAATAAATTTTTTTAATGGTCAATAGACTGATATTTTATTTTTCTTTGCTTTTTTAATATCCTAAAAGCGAGTATTGTTTTTTTACTTTTATTCCCTATTGGCCGACATCTTAATGCCTAATATCTAATGCTAGAAAAAAGGGTTATTTTTTTATAGTAAAAGGGGTTAATTTAAATAATGGACTTTATTAAGGCCAGCGAGTGAGATGATGGACAATGAAATTTGTCTTATATCGAAGAGACGTGGAAAGAATTGACCACATAAAAGCTGAAATCACTCGAAGAACCATTGTGTTGTGAAGCTTTGAACCGCCCGGATCCCGTTTCATTAGTGGATTCGGGATGGTATCACTGGATTTGATTGTAGATCCAGGACAATATCACCAATATCCGACCGAATGGCGCCCGATTCCAGATCGAGCCATCGATTTTTTAAACACGGTTTGGCATAAAAGGTTATCATTCGAAACCCGGTTGCTCATGGCGGCATAAAAGGTTATCCTTCATCATTCGAAACCCGGTTGCTCATGGCTCCAAAGGTGCCATTCTCACCAACGTTTGCATAAAAGGAGCCATTCGAATTCATTCTCATGTATAGTGCATTTAATAGAAAAACACAAAAGGTGGAACCGCCTGTACCAAATCTGAACCGTTTAGATCCCATTTTATTAGTGGATCCAGGATGGTATCACTGATACCCGATCCGAAATCGGACGATCCGACTGAACCAGATTTGAATTGCTCAGGTCCTGTTTTATTAGTGGATTCAAGATCATCGATATATGATCTGGAATAAGACAGTCCGGATCGCTCGATTTTGGATCAAGTCAGTGATTTTTTAAATACTGAATATATCAACGATTTTTTAAACACCGAATGTAACCAAGGTTTGGCATAAAAGGTTATGATTCAAAACTCAGGTTTGTTTGCTCATGGAGCCAAACGAGCTACAAGTCTCTTGGGGATGGTTTCAATACATCACGTGGGGGGTCAAGGCATACCTAAACTTGCATGGACTCATTCTGATGTATAGTGTATTTAATAGAAAAGGGCAAAAAATGGTGGAACCACTTGAGCCAAATGTGAACCGCCCGGATCCCTACCGATACCTGATCCGAATCACTTGATTCCGAATCAGATCTGCGATTTTTTAAACACAAAACATAACCGAGGTTTCGCATAAAAGGTTATGATTGGAAACCCAGGTTTGTTTGCTCATGGAGCCAAAGGAGCCATAAGTCTCTTGGGGATGGTTTCAATTGAAAGAATGTCAAGGGGGGTCAAGACAAAGCTGAACTTGCCTGGATTAGTTCATGTATAGTGTATTTGTAGAGAGTATTTCGTAGGGGTATG